ACGGTACCGTCAGTTTCACTTGATCCACGACAGCTCACTTGGATCGTTATCAGAGATGCCTTATGATGAGTCAGTGATAAGAGCTTAATGAAGGTACTCCTCAAAGCCCTGCCGGAATGTTATCCTGAAAGCTGCTGTCTTGTTAGTTTAGAGATAAGAACTCAGCAAGGGCAACAGCTCGAGCAAACAAGGTCTATTTACCTAGCCATGTTTACCCTTTCAACGGTAAATACAGCATTTACGTGAAACACAGTCATTGGAAGAATGATTTTTGATATGTTTGATGCTTTGGAAGTGTTTTCGTTGGTCGAACTGGTTCAATGAACACTGTCCATGGAGTGTGTGGTCTTGAAAGGTGAAAAATGAGACCAAGTTCCGACACAAAAGATGTGTTAATTGTCTTGACATCAGATCTCCAACTGCTGCCAAAGAATTCGTGTGCTAATCACGATCCAGTCATTATATTTTGACTGTGCGCTCATCAAGAGGCAAACCTTATACTCCTGTGTCACACGTATCCACTTTAACCCTGGACGGTTAACAAGACAGACGCCAAACTGTGGGTAAGTCTCTGTTTAAATTTAGCCACTGACTAGCCAACGTAACAGTCCACTTGGAGAACTGGCAATTCTCTTTAAGAACTTCTCCCCTTTCTCTTCAACAATGTCTATTCTGGCCTATCCAAAGCTATCGTAAACGGTCGTAAGACTTGCTCATCCCTTTAATAACCCGTTCCTGAAATCTGATTAATTGGGCCGCAAATTCGCTTACAATTGGGCCCTAAATTCGCTTATTAGAATTTCCAACTGAAACATTTAATATTCACCGATGAAAACATCTTCCGAAATTTTGCAGGTCCACGGAGACCAACCGTATTTCGAAGTTTAACCTTTGTGGCAATCGAACAAGACACCTAGCTGTCTTGTTAGCAACAACTTGTTAACTTGAATCGAAACACATTGCTTCGAACAATTGACAATAAAGTACCAGCGAAGATCATCATTGCTAAGGAGCTGCTAAAAGTTTATTTTAATGCCTTGTTAGCAAGCCGACTCCTTGCTTTGATTTATTCCTTCCCATTGTTTTAAAACGCTGAAATATTGTCGTCTGGCGGTGTAACGTGATATGAAGCCATATTTACCCCAAGATTGGTAGATGAATGTTTACTTTTAGAGCTGGGTTAATGCATGTGTGAATATTATTTTATCTCTTCTGCTTTCGAGATAAAATTCTTTCTCGACATTGGTACCATTGATGCATACACAATTAGGTGCGTTAATTAAATGATTAGCCAAAGCTAAAACAAACAAACACCAGTAATGCAATCTGCTCCTTCTCCTAACAAGATAAGAAAAATATTAAAGTTATTTATTTATTTAGACAGCTTCGAGATGTGAATCCTGGGCCACTTCTTTCTCGTAGTTAGGAACTTTTATCTTTTTGTTTTGTTGGAGCTAATACCACTCGAAGAAATTATTAATCTGAATGTCACTTTGTGACCACAAGTTGTCAAAAGGTATTTCACAACCGGGGGGTAGCATTCAAGAAAATATTTCAAAACAGGGGATGTTCCAACACATTGAAATAGCCGTTGTTTGATTTATTGTGTTCTCAAACATTTTAGTCAGTGAAGGGTAATGAAATGAGCAGTAAGGGCTTTGTGGTCAAATGAGCTGAAATAGCTGAAATCCATAAAACATTAATGTGCACCCCCCCCCCCGCCCTTTTCCATTGCTATCTGTGTACCACATGTTCATGGCAATCCTTCAATATAAGCCAATCGTTTTCCTGTTCAGTACGCATAGTGTGATTGTTTAGTACCAGAAGGTTCAGTGAACTGACCTGAAAGGCCTTTCTATAATACTATTATAAAGGATTAAATAGTTCCGTTCGTTTGAGAGTTTAAGCGTATTAACTATGGCACGAAAAAAAGGATATACGAAGAATATACGTTTTGACCTACGCAGTATCAATTAATAGTTTCCACATGCTCCTCGGCTTTCGCACAAACCGCGAGCTCATAATTTGACAAGAATCAGCAATTGAATAGCTGGCACACTGAACTTCACCCACACTTGACGCCGCTTTCAAATTTCTTGTCTCTCCTACTGCCAATTGATTTACTCTATTGTGATATGTCCCACTGTAGCGATAAACTAATTCTTCCGATTTCACTGAGTTCTATGACCATCATTGGATACCACTAGACGCAAATACAAATGAACCGGTATTAATTTGTGACCTCAAATTCCAAATCAGTCAAGACTTTTTTGAGCTTTCTGGTATGTGATTTGCAGTGAATGCTTTCCTTGCAGTCTGCAGACGAAACACAGCATCAAAACAGGAACTCGTGGTCTAAGTAACTTCCGCATGCGTTTAAGAACATGAAACCAACCTGAACTCTTTACCATATTGGTTACGACCGCACCCCACGATATTGCATTGAAGTACAGAAATTTTTCATGTTATTTTTTAACCTTGTACTGCTTACTCAAACTTTTAAAGGCGTAACCAGTGAACGTAGAGATGAGAAATGATGAACAGGAAGCCCATACCGTACATGTTTGTTTCACCACGATAAGAAAACTGACTGAAACTGACTGACTGAAACTGTAATTAAAACTTTAATCCTCCCATTAT